ACAGATGTGAGCAGGGGAAGGTAATACTTGCCAGTAGTCAGATGCCTGCCTTGGCCTTAGGAGACCCTAGTCTATCACCCTGAACATTTCTATCCCTTGGAGCAAGGATTGCTGACAGACCTGCGATGGACCAAGGTTGGACAGTCCTCTGAGGGTGACTAATGGGAGTGGCCACTTAGGTGCAATGGCACACACTGCCTGCTGGACTCTGGCTTGGAGAAGGGGACATGATAGCTCTTGGCCATGGTGGATTTTCATCAGATTCTTTCAGTGCAAACAGTGGAGAGAGGAAGGCTGTATTTCAAACAGTCCGAGAAGCAGCAGGATGAATCTGTGCACCTGCCAGCAACATTTTTGCAGGAGAGCATTGGCAAGGTGTGGGCATTTCAGAAGGACCCAAAAAACACAGGCAGGAGAAATACTTTGAGACCACCTTTCCATCCTGAGCAGGAAATTTTCATTTTTCTAATTTAAGTAGCCAGTGTGAGAAATGATTACCTTCCTCTATAAAGTAGGTAGAAACAATAGAAGCCTTTTTCATGAAGCAAAAATAGTTTGCTCAGCAGGACAGTACTGGACTTGGAAAACGTTATTAAAAAATGGAACATGCACAGCGGTGCAAAGAGAGGGAGCCATGTCAAGGAGAAAATTGAAAATGTCTAGGTTGGTTTAGGCCTTGATTTACCTGTTGCAAACGAAAGGATATTTCACATTCTAAGAAGGATGAGCCAGTGCTGACAAGTTCACAGTGTAATCAGAAGGACCCGGCAAATTAATAGGTAATTCTGATGGAATAACGAAACCTCTCTCGGGTGGAACATTAATTATCACCCTGCTGTAAGGGAAAGGTGACAATGTGGATTGTCCAGGAAGAAGGCAAGAGAGAGAGAGAGCTATTTTCAGGGTCAGTGGCTTTTTCTTCTTTTTTTTTCTTTTCAGAACAAAGAAAAGTATGACACAGGCCAGAGGACTGACTTTTCCCTGTGACTGTTGAGCTGATATGCTCTGTGCATAGCAGAGTCCCGTAACAGGGACAGATTACCATATGGCTGTGTCTTTGTCTGCACTGGGAGGCTGCCCTCTGCATCACTGAGAGGGAGCGATTGGGATTCAGGGTATTTCAACAAGAGCCTGGGGTCTCACATCCCCCAGGGCTACCCAGCCTGCTGCCCTTCTCCTCAGCCAGCCTGGTGACTGGCATCTGGGCTTGGTTCATTTACCTAACATGCTCTGGGCACGCTCATCTGTGTTGCTGTTTCAGTGGGTCAACTGAGGGCTGTGTGGCCAGCTCCTGGGGTTCCACTCTGGTCTCATTGGGACTAACTTTAAGCCTCTACCTTAATGACATTAAGCTCCTCCACGGAGCAAGTGTTTGTACAGACTGCTGCCACAGTTTGAAATGCTTTCCATTTCTCTTGACTGATCCCTGTCTCCAAGGCCTTCACTCAGGGTTCTGCTATGATTTGAGTGAGTCCCCCAAAAGATTCCAAGTGTTGAAATTTAATTCTTATTGTGAGGTGTTAAGGGGGTGGAAACTTAATCCAACTATGGTGTTTAGAGGTGGGACCTTTTGGAGGTGTTTAGGATTAAATAAAGTCACTTGGGTGGAGCCCCGTGATTGAATCTTGATGGCTCATAGGAAGGAGAGACCAGAAGGTCAAAATATGCACAATATGCTCCCTGTTTCTGGTCATGTGATGGCCTGGGCCACATTGGTATTCTGCTAGCAATATCACTATCAGTAGATATGGCTCCTTGACCTTGTATCAGAACTGGAAGCCAAAATAAACCTCTTTTTTCTATAACTTTTCTAGTATTTTAGTTACTTTTCTCTCCTTGCTGAGACAAAATACTTGAGACTCAGAGTGAAGGAAGCAAAGGTTTATTTAGCTCATAGTTTGTGGAGGTTTCAGCCCATGCTCAGCTGGGTGGTGTGGCACAGGGCAACTTCTTCTGGAGGGGGAAGACACCAAAGAGCCAAGAGCCATGTAGGAGAACAAACCTCTTTTCCTTTTTATAGTGTATGCAGACTGTCCTCAGGTGGGTGTACACCCTCACCAACTCTGTGCCTGCCTCTTGCTCAGAGTGTTTATAAAGTGAGGACCCTGGCCCCTCCTGAGTCACTTAAACTTCTAAATGTCTCAAGTGGACACAGTGAAAAATATCCTAGAGGATACTGGCCATTTCCTCTATACTCTGCAGAATTGCTGAGTTACTTAGTTGAGCTTTTAGACTTCTCAAGCTCACATAATGAATCCAATGTTATACCCAGTTGTATTGTTATCATCAACTGAAAGTAGACTAATCCGAGTGCCTTCTCCAGGAAGCCTTATGTGAATGACCTACCATAGAGAAGTTCTAAAGTGATTCCCAAGAGCTCTATGAGGATGCTTCTCAGTTGCAGCCCTAGTTGTGCTGGATGACCACTTTCTATGCACTTGCTCCTCACCTGAGCCTGTGAGCAGGAGCAAGGAGGTGGTAAGGTATTTTATCTTGTGGCCTCAGGGCCCAGTAGAAGCATTGACACTCAATAGGAACTCAATGAAGGTGGAAATAGATGGTTCACTTTGGGTGGTAGATGGTAGGTAGAGCTTGGGGCGGTGGGGGGGGACACACCCCAATTTGAAATTCTCTTCAGTAATGTAGGTTCAGGCTATGTCCTGCCGTGGTGTGTGTGTGTGTGTGTGTGTGTGTGTGTGTGTGTGTCTCCTTCAAGGGGATCTTGAAGATCCTAGAAGAATGGACATGGAAGTGATGGAATTAGAAATTTACTGGGAAATATCCTACCTTCTGCTTCCTGCAGGATACAAGGATGGAACCCACTAGTGGTATTTTCTTATTATTCACCTTATCCCAGGGGGAACTGTATTCTTCAGTGAAGAATGTGGGCGAGCCCATGGGTTATGCTAAATCCATCCCAAGGTATGCTCTACAATTTCCAGTGTCTACTAGGATTAGTTTTGAGGAACACACGTTAAGACATTAACATGTCCTTTCTCCTTGGACTCTTTAAGTGATACACCAAGTCTTAAAACTGTGGCAACTTTAATGTCATCATCCTTTATTTCTATCTTCTCTCTTCCCTTTTCTTTCTTTTCCTTTTTCAAGGAGATTTTCTAAGGGTGACATTTGAATTGTTGTAATGGAGTGGCCCAGAAATGTATTTGCATGTGACTGATGGCTGGCTCGCAGGCAGTCTGCACAGTCTACACATGCTGAGAGCCAGTCTCAGGCTGGTGGGGATCTCATGTCCCCGACAAACTGATGTTCGTCCATCTGTGAGTGATAAATCAGTCACTCTACCCTGTGGACATCCATGGTAGAAGATTTCTCCCTAGGATAAGAACTCTAGGAAGATGAATTGTGCCTTCTTTTAGCTTATATTGTGCTCATAGTAGGTCTTTATTAAAACTTCCTGGATTGATGGACATTGTGCCTGTATTAATGTACAATAAAAGGTTAAAATATCATGATAATTACAAATGACAGAGAGAACTCTGGGAAGCTTTCTAACTCTGAGCCCAGGAGCCAGGCCAAGAGCACCATGGGGTGTGTGTACCATTGAACAGGCAGATGGTAAATACACATCTTCAAGTCAGTGGAACAAAATTGCCATAAAAATACAAGATCTTCTAAGTGTGGGTGTATACCTAATCTAAACTAAAAGTCTCCATAAATGGTATACCTTGCAGCTCAAAATATTTTTCTTTTCTTTGAAGTGTTCTAATTCATAGTAAAAGCAAAAACAGGCAACCAAATTTTCCTTTTCCTTTTTTTTTTTAAGGCTAAATGACGTGCTTTCCATGGTGTTGGCATCCACTCAAGAAACATTTGAATGAATGATTTGGAAGTGCAGGCAAGCTGGCTGGGACATCTGTCACACTGCTGATGGCCGGCGTGGACTTGGCTGGTCCAGCTGGCTGGGTGTGGCTCCTCCTGGATCTAAGGGAAGTGGGCTACCTTCTAAGAGAGAGCCAAGCCTTTTGTCTGTTTGGGAGACATTACAAGAAAATTTCCAGGATGCTTTTTTTCTTGTTACGCATTTACTTTTATTTTTCTGACTGCCTTCTCTATTCATAACGAGTACCACCTTTCCAACTCCCAGTACAAATGGCCGGGAGTTGTGGAAAGCTTTTCCTTCCCAGTTTCCATATATGATGGTTTTATCATCTTCGATCCTAGAGTTGTGTCTGAGGTTTTCATGTCAAAGTTCCTTTTTCTGGTGGCAGGTTTTTGGCGAGGCGGCCAGCCTCATAAAGCAATGTAATTGTCCTTAGGAAGCAATCATTTGGCTATTGTTTCACAGCAATTACCAGAAGTCTAGAAAGGACCCAGTGTGTTCAATATGGAATAACAAAACTAGAAACAGCAGCACGAGGGTGGCAGAGAAGGTGACCGCTATCTTTTTCTACAAGTTCTTAGGGATATTCTGGCATCTTCCTAAGTCACTGGGTGACTTACAATCACTCTTGCAGTCTGACTTTCCAATCTCCTAGCATGGAAAGCTCAGTAAGAAAGAACTTTATGCCATTGTAGTTTTGCAATTTTCTCTACAGTCAATACTGCACGTGGAATTCCTAAAGGGACATTGCTATAAAAATGGCAGATAATTACGGGTTAGTGGCTAAAACAAACCTCTTCTCTGGAGAGCTTATGCACATAGATTGAAGGATAAAACAGAGCTGAATGGTATTTGATTTTTGTGTTTATCCAACTCTCTGGCCCAGGCAGGAAGGTAATATATGAAATGGGACATTTTTGGAATATTTGTTTTTGAATTATGCTCATGAAATACACACTGTGCTGTGGAGGACATGTGGGAAAGCTACACTCTGACTGCATGACTAATTTTTAAAGCCTTGCATTGAGAGAATTCCCCCCAAGAACACAGCTGGGTTTTTCCTTCGTGGACTGAATATGTCAATTCTAAATTGAACAAAAATGAAATTTCACTCTCTTATGGTAATGTGAACTAAAGAGTAGACCCAGCAGCTAGAGTATTACGTAGTAGTTCATACACCAAGAACTATTATTTTATTAAGTTTAAGAACATGTTTTACATAAAAACAGGCAACATCAGAAAAGCTTGGTTGATAAATGAACATAATATATCACAGATGATTTCATTCCACAGTAACCTACATTTATTAGCTTAAACTGAAGGATTCAGAAAAAAATTGAATCTCATTCCACCTTTAATCATGGATACAAATTGTTTGAAAGTTATTTAATTAGGATTCCAAAAATCAAAGATTAACCTACGCCATCTGACCCATGCAGCAAGTAATAAATTCAGCAATTTCAAAGGAAACATTGAGTTTTTCTCCTACTAAATCGAAACCTCTTGGAAACTTGTTTAAATGCATCAAGTTCCCAGCCCACCTTTTTAGTATGCATGACCAAAATACTATTTAATTTCACACTCAACTAATCCTTTAATAATTTTCTTTCAACCAGAATGAAAAAAGGCTATTACTAATTTCCTAATAAATTTTTTAAAAAAGTTATTGGGATATGACTTTAACCTTGGACCAGTTTCAATTTCTTTTTATTTGTTCTGAGAATACACTAAAGATTAATGTCAATGGTAAGTGAGAAATTGAATTGTCCCTAGGGTACTGTTCAAGCTATATTTCTTACCACATTTGACTGAACTGGAATGAATTGATATCATTAGAATCTTTAACATCGCTTTAAAATTAATGCTACTTTCTTTTAATATCAACAGTGACAGTTTTAAAACTATTACTTTAAATTAATAAAGTATATCACAGACAAAAATATACACTTTTACATTAAAGCAACATTAAGGGTCTCAGCTTAGTTATCAAAAAAGAAAATTGAAGAAATTTACAGGTATGGTTTAATTTCAGAGATTACTTTTCCTTTAGGGAAAAAAATGAAATTAGATCCTTCATTTGTCTCCATGGCAAGATATTGCAAATCTCATGATCAGAACGCTTGCCAGCTAAATGCTCATTCACTGGAAAATTATCAGTGCAGCCCCAGTGTTAAGCCAAAAATGACAACAAATAAACAAAAACGCCCCAACCAGAGGCACTCAAAACCTCTACGATGAATCTTGTTTCCCACCAGGTTATGACCCTTAATGTTACTGGATGGATGCTTGCATATCTGAGATGATTAAAAATAAAAGACTAGCCTGAAAGGTCCTCCTTCTTTAGAATGTAATTACATACAAACTGAAGATTCCTTCTGACAGTCTCAGGAAGCCCATTTGTAACTGTTCCATATATAAGCACCATTGAGCCAATTTTTAAAGCACTTTTCAACAATCAAATGTTTAGCATGTCCTTAAGTTCCACTGATTTATTTGCCTTTAAATAAAAAAGTGTGGGAGCTGTTCTACGCTATTTTGGGATATGAATTAAGAAAAATGTTAATTTTGGAAATGCTTTTAATCATTATTTTCCCCCACAGTCTAGAATGGCTTCATGAAATTTGATGATTAAATAAGGAAATCCTATTTCCAAAGAAGCACATATCTGACCCTCTGCACTGCATGTAAAGGAAGGGTTCATTTGAGAATATTTTGTTAAAATCCTAATGGAAAGATACATGGAAAAGACTGACCTTTGAACTGTCAACTTTGAGTTTTTTAAAAAAAATTTCTGAACAAAAAACAATGTAACAATATAACTTGAATGACTCACAAATTATAAAAAAAGATGTTATCTAAGTATATGTCAGGTGATTCCTTGAAGAAGAAGAAGAGGAGGAGGAGGAGGGGGAGGGGGAGGAGGAGGAGGAGGAGGAGGAGGAAGAAGGAAGAAGAAGAAGAAAGAAGAAGAAGAAGAAGAAGAAGAAGAAGAAGAAGAAGAAGAAGAAGAAGAAGAAGAAGAAGAAGAGACACGTCCAAATGAATAACTACATTTAAACTAATTTCTTGGATCTTTATACTTTCTAAAATTATGAAATCATAATTAAGGAAATATGCTAGATCTCTGTTGTCGTTGTTATTGTTCTTTTTCTTAGGAAAATTGGGAAGAACCTGAGAAGAGAGGGAAGTGAACCTTCACCCTGGTACAGGTCCTGGATAGCAAACTTCACAGCCTGGGGCAGGTTTTTATGGTTAAATGAAAACCTTTGAGAACAGGAGTTTATCATGGAAATGCTGACAGATCCTTACCCAGAGAAGGGCTGGGGGCAGCACAATAATATTAAGAAAGCTCTCCCTCAGCTCCGCCAGGCTTCAGCACAGGGGATAGAGTTGTCTAATGGATGCCGCCGGCCAGCAAACAACCGTGATTTAATGTGCTTGAGCCCTGGTCAGACGGTAGCTCTGCGACCCTCTAAGTCAATTTTTCTTTTTTTCTTTTCTAACTGAAATATACCTCAAAGGGTAAAGGATTGCGATTTTAGTTTTCATTCATGGATATATTGCTTTCTTTCAACAATATCTCACGGGCCTGTTAACTGCCCCCTCCTTGGGGTATTGAGTAGCTTCAGGAAGGTCTCATTGAATACAAAACGCAACGTGTTTTCAGTAGTTTATTTCACATTTCTTTTTCTCTGCTTCTTTTAATATGCACCACGTGTGAGTTAGATGAGGGCTACAGTAAAAACATTCTCCGTGACTGAAATCTTATTTCTCCTTCTAATGATCTGGAGCAAATCCCATATTCATTGATCATGGCAAATCAAATGATTTCTGCTACAATGTTGAGGAAAACAACGTGTTCATTAATATGAACGGTTCTCATCTACAGAGATGATTTACACGATGCAAGTAATGAAGGAGTTCTTCCTTAACTAGCCTATTATCAAACTTAAAAACGATTCCTAAAATCCCCTTGAAAGTACCATATGGCTGGCCATGTGTCAGTAAAAGAAAGACAGTCCTCATTACCAGCCCACCACCATTAGAGCTATATTAAATACGTGGAAAAAATAAGGAAATGCTTGTGGTGATGATTTAATTGATAATTACAGAGATACACTGCCATAATTGTACATATTTGTTCTATGATAAATAAAATAAAAAATAAGATCAATTTGGTTTTAGAAATTCCTTAAAGAACACCACCACTTATTTATAACTTGAACTATCCCAAGAATGTTGAGAAGACAATTAGAAAGCACTGGCTAAGAGCAAAGCAATCTGGATACACCAACATCAGCATGCCTTGTGCTTGTCTGTTAACCCTCTGAGTACACCTCTGACATTCGAGATCACGGTAGCTTAGTGCTAGAGAGATTGCATTCCATCTGATTACTCAATATTTCTACTTGACAGGTCACATTCCACTGTTTATTCAGCATAGATCCCTCAGATTGTACAGGAGTGCACCGAGATTCTCATGCTGACAGGGCCCTGCGTTCCTACGAGCTGCTCTCTATGTGTACTGAAAAACCCTCGCGCACTGCCCCAGGTTTCAGTGGGAAAAGGTCTAGGCCATGCACGTAGTCCTGGACACTGGACGCTGTAGCAACACATATAATGTCCACAGGAAAGGCGGTCACCCAGAGTAAAAGGGGAAAATGACAATCTACTTCAAGTAGGTTTCTACCATAGGATTCTGTACATTCACACACTTCAAGTATACAGCTACTCTTTAACTGTAGGACAGTGAATTGCTTATAGTTCCAGAGAAAGCAGTGATTTCTGACCAGGTCAGTGCCCTTTACTGATATGCAATCTATCTGCACACTAACACCATTTCTGTTGTTTTGTGTCCCATTCCCTGTTTCCCCCCAAACCAATTTCAACTGATTTACTGATTTGTGCTGCTTTGTGATTTCATATGTTTTCGTTTCTGAATTTAAAGTGGAAGAGAAGAATATCTGGGAGTCCGTGATGCACAGGTGATGACGTTGTGATTTTAAAATCTCTATGAATGTAGCTTAAGGGCTGAAAGTGAAAAACAGCGGTTTTTACAATCAGTGTTTGAAAATTCAGAATCTATAGAAAAGTCAGTCAAAAATTTCAAGACTCTCAGATATTAAAGTATATTCAAAACTGAGGCTTTAAGTCTCATTAATGATTCAGGTAAAAATTTTTGAGGTAATACTGACTGTTGTCTTCTGGGTCACAAAGCTGAGCAAACTTTAGGGGGCACGTTAGCTGGGTCCTGCCTTGATGCCTCTCTACTCTTCCCTCTGAGTGTTGCCATAGTGAACAGGACGCAGCACGGAAGCAGCCTGTGTTTCAGAACTCACTCATGCCTGGAGACCCTCGCTGGAGAGAGATCGTTAGTGGAAGGGAATATAAAGAACTGGGTCAAAAGACAAAACACAGTCTCCCGGGACAGCTACAGAATGACATAAAAAAATCATCTCAGGGATGGAAGTTTACCCTCAAGAGCTCTTCTGGATGTTACAGCACACTTTTCCTGGGAGACTAAATAGGTTAACTAAAGATACACACGTAGCCGAGTGCAGTGGTGCAGGCTTATAACCCCAGCACTCTAGAAGACTGAGGCAGAAGGATCTCAAAATCTTGTGGCCAGTCCAGGCAATTTAGTGACTTAGCCAGACCCTGTCTCAAAATAAAATAATTAAAGTAGAAAAGGACTTAGAATGCACCTCACTCCAAAGGTATTGTGTTCAATTCCCAATTCCACTAAAAAAAAGTAATTTATTTTATTTCCTTTACAACCATTCTGAAACACAGTGTTCCACTGTACATTCTCTTCAGCCACTTTGCAAAATACTCACTTCCCTCCCAGCTCTTTAAAATACAGATTTCACAACATATGATGACCACAGTATCATGAAAAAGCAGGTAAGAAAAAAAAAGCAGAGGATCTTATCTCCTCTTTCTTTTGAAATTCCAGCCCCATAGAGCACCTGGCAATTTATTGCTCTTTTCCACTGGTTGAATCTTTCCTGTAGAGGTCTCATATTGAGCACACAGACCTTCACTCACCAAGCACAAGATAAGCTTTGGTGATTCCCTGAGGGTCTGCATCGGCACTAACAGCAGCTGATGTGAACGCAGCATTTCTGGGGCAACATCAGGACATCATCCTGGGGAGACAATTTCGGGGGAGGGCATGTTGTCAGTTCTCTGGGTCAGGCTGTTTGTCACAGCCCATTCTGGATGCACAACTCACTGCAGCAGATGATTATGCTAAAGAAAAAAGATTCCCTTTTAAATAGGATTGCGAAGGAGAGAGGGGTGCGTGTGCTAAAGTTATAAACCTGCCATGTTCTAACCCCACAGAAAAGAACAATCAGGTTACCATTCTAGATGCCTTTCTTGTCTGGACATTTCAGCATCTTAATAGCACTCCTTTATGCAGCAAAATCACAAAACATGTGCGTTTACACCCAAAGACCTGAAAAATTCTCAGCAAAGATTCCCAATTAAATTCTCTGCACTCAGAGGGTTAACATGTGCTATATTACATACTGCAGATCCTAGCTTGACTGATGAAAACATTCATTGCTTCTATGTTTTAAAAAAATTGGAAATTAGTCTTAACCCTTTGAGGACCTTACTAGTGGCAAATTACCGCCTTCACAACCCCCATGTGCCGTCTCACTCAATAAAAGGAAATTGCTACAAAAGTACCCCCAAACACGCTCTATGTTCCGCCATTCAAGAGCATCAAATGCTAGATAGATCAGATGAAACTGTTTTACAGAAATTTGGGGAAAAAAATCTAGTGTCTCAAAGGGTTAAGCTAGGACTTTGAGTAAAAGGGTCTCATTAAAAGGGTGAGTTGGGGGAGCGAACAGTCTCGGAGGAGCTTGGGGAGTAGTCTTCGGATTCCGAGTTGAGTTCTGGTGGAGCTGGCTGTGCCTTGTACCGGCTCCTCACATCCTGGTTGCATCTTCGTCGGAAAACCTGCCTCTCCTTATCAAGAGCGGTGGTCTAGCAGGGGCATAAAATGAGAAAGAGGACAATTAGGCCGAGGGAAATGGCATGAGAAACTGATTCCAGAACTTTGTGAGGTTACAAAAACATGCTGGCCAAGTTAACCAGTCCGTGATGGCTCACTGTGATCAATAGTCTCCACTCTTGGGGAGCTCTCTGCTCCCTCACATGGAGCGCTTTAGAGGACCTGGTCACGACACCCAGCAGACACAGGCAGGATGGATGATGTCACAGGTTAGAACTCTCCCCAGTCCTGTCCAGACTTCTGGCTAGCTCCACATCTATTACCTTTGGTGGCTCCCAGGCCAGCTGAGCCCTTTCTGTGTGATGTAGGAATGCCCTGCAGGTGACCAAGCTGGGTGACAGAGATGATGTCAGACATGAACACAGAGCCATAGCTCACCCCGTTCCTTAGCACCTTCTCACTTTAAACGATCTTATCATCTGTTGATGGAGGAGTATGGCTGAACTTCAGGGAAGGGTTGGTTGAACTTTAATGAAACGAATGCTTGAGACTGAATATGGCTTTGAATGCAATTAAACCACATGTAAGCTTTCTCATGGATTTCGTTTAATGAAGTTCATTTTCATCTTTCTATGTGGCAGATAGGACATGGAGATTCACTTCTGTAAGGATTCCAATCCTTGGTCTCTATGCTACACTTTCCTGAGGAAACCTCAGATGATTGCCCAGCATGTGCTAGCTGGCTGTAGCTCTGGAAGTTATTACGACATCAGAATGAGGAACAGCATGACTTCATCACAGATTTAATGGGTGTGGGGAAGAACAGGGTCATTACAGCGAAACCTTACACAGAAAGCAGAAGAGCAGGTCCAAAGCCTGAAGAAAAATATAGAACACATATAAAAGTTGAAGGGGTCCTTGTTTGAAAGTCCCTCTTTAAAAGGAGGTAGCCTGGAGGTTATTCTGCTTTTAAGAGATTACTTTCCCTCTATAGGGATATACGCCACCATTTTTTCTCCTGAAAATTTACTATTAGCTTCTTCAAAGGACTCAGATAAATTTATGGCCAGCCTGGTTCTGAGAACAAAGTGAAAACTAAGCCCGTCATACAACTGCTGTATAGCATTAGAACAATCTTAGATCTAAAATAGAGCAATCAAAGCCCCCAAATGAAGCAATAAAGAGAGAAATAGACACAGTGTGCAGAACTGCTATAGTAAATGGCTTTGTTAGGCTGAACTGGTCCACTTTAAAAGCTATCCACACACTGAATCCCAGGGTTACAAACCAATGAGGAGCATAAACTTTAATAATTTACTTTGTTTCACTAGATTGCTAATACAATGATTCAATAACTGGTTTGTTGAAATGTCTACCTTTGATTCTTCAACTTGTTGAATTTTTAAGAACTCTCATATGTATAGTTATTAGTCTTATACCCATCAATTTTATGATATGTTTGACATCATAAACTTAAATTCCTAACTTTATTTAAAACGTTTTAAAGTCACAACACATGGTATTTGGTTTTCAAAGCAAACTGAACATGTTCTGTTTGTGGAGAGTTGAATGTTTGTGAAAAACAGATGTCTATTTAATCTGACTTACATAAAAAGCATTCTGTACTTAATTCAGGAGTAACATGAACTCTTCTCCTAGTTATAAAAAAATACTTCTATTTCTTACTTATGTCATAAAATGTCATTGGCATTGCTCTGAATTTTGACCGGTAAACATGGGCAATCAGAAAAGCACCCATGGCTCGTGGGCAGGAATTTTGTGTTCTTCTCCGGATGTCCCTTGCTGGATGGCATTCACTCTCTCCTCTCATGTATTAAGTAAGAACCAAAATAACTCCTTCACGCACTGCAGATTTGTTGTAGGTATGTATGCTTTCTAAACAGGTAAGATTTTTCAGAAATGGAAAGCGATCTTTCTTTTTTAGTTTGATCTAAAATAGTATTTTAAAATGAATAACTGCAGGCAACTAGGGTGAAACAAACTCCCCACTGCAATTTAATTCAGGGTTTTCTCTCCCTCCTTCACTGTCATTGGTACAGGCTGGATAGTCAATCTATTTCCACATACAATGATTAAATAGCTGGTGTGTTGAAACTGACATCCACTGTTGATTCTTCTTAAGTTTTCTTTTTTAATGCTGAGGGTTGAACCCAGGACCATTACGTGGAGTTACATCTCCACCCCTTTTTCATTTTTGAAACATGGTCTTGATAAATTACTAAATTTCCAGTCTAGTCTTAAATTTGTAATCCTTTTCTCTAAGCCAGAATACCAGGATCACAGGAGCACACCACTCTGGTCTGGCTTTCTCTGAATTTTGTTTTGTTTTGTTTTTTGTCTTTTTGAGACAGGGTCTCACTATGCAGTTCAGGCTGGCTTTGAGCTCATTTTGTAGCCCAGGCTGATCTTGAAATCACAATGATCCTCCTGCCTCAGCCTCCAGAATGCTGGGATTACAGGCATGTGCCACCACTTTTCTGTGAGTTTTTAAGGACCCTCTTATATAGAGTTCTTGGTTTATACACATCAATTTTACGATATTTAAGATAATCTATTCTGTTACCCCCAAGTCATAGTCTTGACTGCAGCCACTGAAATAACACATTTTTCTGAATACCATAATTCAGTTTGTGTGGAAGCTGGTGGTGTTAATGGCAAGCCTATGCTTGGATAATTTTATTACCTTCATTTTCACATTCATTTCTTCAAATCACTTATAAGGGAAGTTTAACAGTCTCTTCCTTACTTCTCCTTCTGCCTAGAATCTTCTCTGTCCCCATTTAAGTGGTCAGTTCTGCCTCCTGCAGGAATGTCTCTAGTTGGTAACTTCCTAAGTGTTTGCCTTTGTATTTGAACCTTCGCGCCCAAACACTCCTGAGCTTTCACATGCCTGCCGTTCAGTATTCTCACAGTGAGTGCGCTTGGACAGATACCTTCGTCAAGATCATGTACCATCAAATAAAAACATGGTGGTTGTTTCCTTTAGATTTAGAGACTCTCATAGTTAAAAGACAGTTTATAAGACATTTTTGTCCAAAGCTTTGTCTTCATAGGCAGGGAAACTGAGGCCCATGCATGTGATAAGACTTGCCAGGAATTCACTGCTATTAAATAAGGAATGGAATTCACTCATTCTGCTAAGGTCCAAGCGATATCTGCCAATTTACTCTGAAGTTGCTAAAAGAGAATCAAAGGGAGTCCCTGGACTCCAGCAGCTCAATCCTGCATTCTCGTTCAGGGAAGGAGACTGGCCACAGAGAGAATCAAGGTCAAAAGATGAGGATGTTCTCATGTTGCTCACAAAGAATAAACATTTCTCAGGAACAAGAAGTCAGTATCCACCGAGTCTAACCCTACTATGAAATTCAGGGCCCTCCACTCCTAGGGAGACCTAGGGAGACCTAGGTCTCATGACAGAGAAACACTTTCCTCCCATCCTTATAATAGCCTCTGCCCTTTAACACTGATTTGCTCTCAAAGACATCTGATAGGGTGTCTCTTCATAGGTCTCTGCTCCTGGGTCCTGGCTTGTTTCTCTCCCAGCTCCATGACTGTGGTTCATTTTATAGGCCTCTTCACTTTCTATTCCCATTGTACTGCCATCCCTATGCATCCTGCCCTCACCCTTACTGACACTGCTTTCCTTACCGTACTGTAGACTCTTTGGAAGGCCAAGATCAAATCTTAGATATCTTTGCATTTTCCACAGTTCATGACACACAACAGAGGTCACCTATTTGTCTCCAGAGCACCTAATGCCTCGTATATGCTACACACAGGTCAGTTTGACAAGATCTGATTTATTTACAACTTCTAATACAGGGAAATTCCTTGTACTATCCTTGGCAATGCGCTTGCAGTACAGATTTCCAGTGTCTAATTACTGCTATTACTCAAAAATGATTCTGTAAAGTTGGTAGGTTGATTGTCTCCCTTTAGTGGACACTGGATTTTCTAGGACAGCATCCATTTACTTTGCCTACCTTAATTAACCAAACCACATCTTAATTTCCTTTGGACTTACTCCCATAATCAGTGATTCCAGTGAAGGAGACTACTCCATCCCTGCGCTAAGGCAGGGTGTGGGATTGTACAGAACACAATACTGAGCTTACTGCATTCCTTAACACCTGTGACTGGCTCAGAAATGGGCACCAAACCCAGTCAGAAGCATGTGAGTCTTTTACTAGGACTTTGCCTTAAGAGTAAATCTCATATTGAGAATAGAAGGCCAAGCGAGGGCTGTTTTCCACATCCTGGGACCACTGATGTCAAACTAAAGTGAACTGAGGGAAACCCAGTTGGCAGCAGAAAGAACCAAGCTTGGACTCAGCTCTGAATCTGTCCATCACTGGAGCCAGGTCCCATCCATTCACCTCTCTGGTTAGGTAAAGCCATTTCTTTTCTTTCCACTAAAGCCACTTTGGTTTCTGTTTTCCTCTTTTGCCATCCAACAATTGTGTGTATCTCTGAATGTACTTTAAGCATTCTCGCCTCCACATCCTGGTTCAAGCTCTTTCCCACCTGAAATGACCTCTCCTCTCCTTCCCTCTGCTCACACACATTCATTTATTATCCAAGACTTGACCACATTCACCTAGAGCATCATATTTTTTTCCCTTAAACCCTTAGGCAAGAACTGTCTTGACCAAACTTTTGGCACTTACTTGGAGTGACAATCTGCATATTTTTCCTGAATACATTTAAATTTCTCTATGGTAAACTTGAAACTTCATTTTTAAGAATTCTTAGCAGACTGGCACACATATTAGGCAGGTATCACATACTTCTTAATTAATGCCAAACTGTTTTAGGTGAATACACATTTTCTGAATAATAACAATAAAAATTAGAATCCAAAGCAGCTCTAATAACACCAAAGACTTAAAGGTACTAAAAGTCAATATTTAAATATACAACTTATGTTTCAAAGATGATCAAATTCTTATCTAATTAAATTAATATTCTCATATGCATTTGCTCCTCAAAAATTACTATATCCAGTATCTTA